ATAACTAAATCATGCAATTTCAATAAACTCAATTCATGCAAAATTGGTTATATTCATTCTCATACCATTTCTCATACTCTAGTTCCACTAGAAATATATTTAGACAAGAGATTATATTTCAAATCAACATACCCATTTCATACGAAATCCTAAGTTAAAAATAAATCTAGTTAGGAGAAGAATCCTATCTCTTGAAGCGTAATACGATTGGTAGAAACTCTAAGAAACCCAAATCAAGCTTCAAGCCTTGATTTTTAAAAATTATGTCTTTGGGACTTTGACGAAATCCCCAATTTTTGGTAAGTAGACGTAGCTATCGTCACGTAGATCGACTTTTGTTCTTGGTTTGAAATAATCTGACGAAAGATTGGCCTTAAATCGCAAGGAGAAGATTGAAGAAATCTTTATTGTTTCTCTCTATATTCGAAAATTAGCATCCAAATGTGGGAAAAATCAGATTTTTCCCCTTTTTATACCCCTAGGATACTTGACACACAATGCGTCACACATCCCCGTCTTTTTCTAATTCGATTTTATCTTGAAACAATTAAATCTCGTTCTGTATTATGTTCAAAATATTTTATTTGAACTAAATTTAAATTATTTTCTATATTTTGCAATTAAAATTTGATAGCGTTTATTTTGGTCAAGCGAGGCAAAAAATTCGATTGTTTCGGAATTCAATGAAAATTAATTGGGTAACTAGATTTCACGAGACGAATCCAACAGTAAGGTCCATTTCATTATCCGAGTTGTAGAAATATTTGAGTTTTCAACCCGTACCGTAGGGGTGTCCATGGGCCGGGCTAAGCTTGCAAATTTTTTTTGGGGCCGAGCTTAGGTAGTGTAGGCTCAAGCCCTTATCAAAGTGAAATATCGGTCAGGTCGGGTCGAGCTTCGGGTAGGGGTAGGTTACCCGCAGACCAACCCGTGAGCCTATTGGACGGGCCTACTCGCGGGTTTTTTTATATATATAACTTCATTTAAAAATAACAAATATTTTTATAACTTAATATTTTTGTAAATTATATTTTTGAATCAAAAATAAATCAAAATGGATAAAAATAGAATAATAAATAATTTTATTTTTAATTAGGGGATAAATTACATCCAATATAATGAATACATCTTAATTAGGTTGACATCTACTCACTTATCTGTCATTTGCATTATTTTACCATTTAAAACTTGTATGCTTAATACATGAAAAATAAAATAATACATTATTTATATTATCTAAATATTTAAAACTTCAAATTTTGACATTAGGAGACTTATTTTAAAATTTTAAATTTAATAGTTTAAAAGTATAATTATTTTTTCAAAAGAAGGGTGGGCGAGCAATGTGGGTGGGTTAGGTTTGGCGGGTGGGCTCTTGGGCCCGACTTCTGGCTAGGTAATGGGTTTGGGGGCAAACCCAAGCCCTCTTTTTAAAGATATTGGATTTCGGGCCTATTTTTTTGAGTCGGGTAATGAGACTCGTGGGTAACCCCGTCCATGGACACCCCTACCGTACTGTAGCGACTAATTACTATTTTGTCATTTTTCATAAAAATTTAAATTTTTTCAGATTTTACAGAGACTTTGCTCAAGGTCGAGGTTGATAATTATGCTCATCCACCTTCATTTCATAGTTCTCCCTTAAGTAGGGTCATATTGTCATTTCCCAAGGTGGGGACCCCTCTTCTTACTTCATTAGGCTAGTTAAGCAACGATACACCATTGGAGGACTTTATCTCTGTAGGCACATCCAATGGGGTCCAAATTCTCTTTAAGGGGTCTTATTCTGAGGATACTCCTTTGAGGACTCGCTAGGCATGCCACTTCTGCCAATCGTAGTGCCCCAACCATACTCATTTACTTTCGTCATATGGGAGGTGTCTCATGCCAAGGCTGCCCCTGGTTTCTACAATACAATTTTGCCTCTCTCTTGGGTAAGGATTCATTTTGTCATTTCTACTGGGGGTGAGGGTGTGTCTCATGCACCACTTCCGTGGTGCTTGATGCCTTCTGTTGTGTTGTGGACACCTGGCAACCATGGGATCCTGCGGATACCTACTTTGCCATGTTAGCTCATGACTCTTTCTAGGTCTGCTATTTGTCTTTCTATAGTGTGGACACCTATCTTGATTTTATAGGCTACTACAAATAATAAACACAAACTGCATCAAAAACACCATAAAACAAACAAATGCATTTACATAAGAGGTTGTCCTATGCTTTATTATATAGCATTAGGGCTACAAACAAGTGTGGCAAGATTATAATAATACCCTCTAATAAAAGTTGGATTCGGATGTCTAGTACCAACAGACTGCACATACTCACAATCTCTCATTGGGGTTTGATTTCCATTATCTGGAAAATCTCCCACTTCACTCAAATCACTCCCACTTCACTCAAATCACGAAACAAAAGTTGTGCGACTCAAAACCCATTATTCTAAAGGTCGAACACTAACTAAAGCTGAGAAGAGCTTCAATTTTTTTTTACAAACTACCTCATGTAATTGAATCCCATTGGCACATAACTCTTATCTTGTTGTGTACAAAAAATGTACCATTTTATTTTCTCTCCAACTTAATCAGTCTTGTGAGTCACGTACCTATTTGAAGACTTGATATATAGACAAATATTTTGAGAAGACAAAAATAACAATTTAATCTATAACAAAAACAAAAGTGTTTCAATCTAATCTAACTCCGAATCGAATGCGATCTGAACCCCACACAAAGACGCACACACTAAGGTTATTTTCTGCATGTATAACCTATAGTTATGCAGGTGAAATTTCTTATTAACCTTTCATTTCTTTTTGATTTCCACCACATTATGTGGTCATTCTAGTAGTTGATCATGATTTAGAGAATGACTAACCTCATTGTTATCATATTTGTGATTGCATAACTAACAAGAGAAGTATAATCCAATTTCTCTTTCTCACACCAACAATATGATTTGTTATGACTGACACTCTTATTGTACAAGGATAGACGCGTCTTCGCCTAAAATATTGAAAAAAAATTCAGTGCTTTTTAGTTTCGTGTATTGCACATCACTTATAAAATATTTTATATTGCAAATCAATTATTGTTGCTTATTGAGTTGTCAAGTATTTTTGTTAAAAAAAATTAATGAGTATTTTACAAACGTGCGTTATGACAATTTTTCATTAGGTGTGAGCACTATACTACACTTCGAATCCATTTCTAAGCGGGCGAAGGGTCCAAAGGACACGTAGTTGGAAGCGAGCCAGATTTGAAAATTCAAGTGAAAGAGTAAGTCAATAAATGTGAGTGCTCCAACGCTATACAACTTTTTTAAAAGAAGCACGATAAGAGTCTTCGACTTTCCAGTAATGCCTTTTTGGCTTGAGTAATGACCCAACAATGTTTCGCACCGTGATGAACGGTTGCTCTACTTGTACTTGAACCGGTTTGTTGTGGTAAATTTTGATGATATTGTGGTGTATAATGTGACACTTGAAGAGCACGTGGAACACTATAGAATTATCTTCCAGATATTACATGACAACCAACTTTATGTTCCTGCTAAGCATAAAACAGTTTTTTGAATTTCCAAAGGACTTTTCTTTTGTAAATACAATAAAATTGAGGGACATGTAATTTTATTTTATCATGTGGTGAAATTGCCCTTTCATTTCCTTTCATAGTCTATCAACCTCACCCTTTGTCCTTTTTTTCAGAAAATGGAAGAGAAAACAATAAGCCAAATAGCTCATGGTAAAAGCAAAATGAATTTTTTTTTTTAGGTGCTTAAAAGTTACTTATAACACACATTAGTATTCAGATAATATTCGAAAATCCGGGTTGGCCCGTCACAGGTCCCAATAACAAATTGGACTCTGACTTGTCCCAAAAATTGAGGGCCACACTTGTGAAACTATTTCAGCAAACAAGAAAGGACTGTCCGATTATCTGACGGAAGTGGTCCACTCCGTTCTCATCCCGTATTATATCAAAAAATTGCGTTAATAAATTAAATTTAAATATTATTATTTTTAAGACCAAAAACAGAATGCAGATAAACGCTTCTCTTTTATGTTCCGTTTAGCGCGGGAGGGACGAAAAGTAGGGAGGATAGAAAATATGAGAGATACACTTTCTATCATTTAAGAAAGAAAAAGAAAAATGATACACTTTCTTTCCTTTATGTTTGGTTGAATGGATAAAAAATAAAAATGACCAATTTTTTTTGTGCTGATTAATATTAGGGATGACAATCAAATCGTGTCATGTCAGATTCGTGTTGAGTCATTACGAGTTTGTGTCGAACATTAATTACACCTAAATCAATTCATTTAACTAATTATGTCGTGTCGTGTCGAGTTATGAGTTGACCTGTTTATTTTTATATTCGAGTTAATAAAGTTCGTGTCATAAAATTCGTGTCGGGTTCGAGTCGTGTCAACGTGTTGAGTCAAAAATTTTCACCCCTAATTAAGATAGAAAAAATATTTTTTCAATTAAAACTTTTTATTTTTAATTTTTAATTTATTGTTAATTTTTTTTAAAAAAAAATATATAAATACATATTTTATTATTATATTTTTATATGAAAATAATATATACGTAATATATGCATATACATAAAGATATATAGACAAATAAGATATATTTTAATATAAATAATTAATTTTTTATCCATTTTTTTTTTAAATTTTAGAAACATTAATTTGGATGAATTAGAAAAAAAGTTAATCCATCTATTCTTTCATCCTTCTTATTTTCTTTTTTTACTAAATATAATATTTTTATTTATCCTTATAACTTTTTATTTATCTATTCCATTCATCTATTTTTCCATCGTAGTGAACGAAACATTAGTTTTATGGGCTTTATTATTCCTATTCCTGCACCCATAGAAGAGGGCAACCGGTGGGGTAGGAGGTGGGTGGGGACGTCGGGTGAGCCATTGAAGCCAGACCCATGGCCACGAGTCATCACTCATCAAAGCAGGAAAAAGCCAATATTCGTGCTCCTCCACCCGTACTCCTCTCTCTCTTTCTGTCTCTCCTCCTCTGCGCCCGCCCATCCCTTTCACTATCTCAATCAAAAAATTACTGTTAATCAATCACATTCGAAAACATAAAAAGTTCCTTTTTTTTTAATGCTTCTTCTAATCAAGCAGTCAAAAATTCACTCACAAAAGCTGATTCAGGTATCATAAAAACTCAGAGTGAGATCAGATCGGTGCTTAGAAACAAACGTCCAGAACCAGATCTGTGCCACTGCTGAGCCCTCTGCCATTTTCAATATGATTTCGTCTTCAGTGCATTGAATTCAAGGACGTATCACATATCCGATCTGATTTCGAGTTTCGTGTCACCAATTCCGAGACGATAAGAGCCTTTCCTTAGGTCTTGTTTCTTTCCTCTGATCACATAATTTTTCCACAGGTTAGCACTCTGCATCTCTCTTGTGTTTGTATCCTATATATATATATATGACATTGTTCCAATTTCAAAATTTACTTTAATCTGATTTGTGGTGCATTTATGAATGACAGAATGTCATCGTTTTTTTTTTCCTTTTGATTTTGATTTTAATCAGGTTCATATCGTACAATGTATATTGATTATCTGAAATATTTGGGTTTTTTATTTTTGTTTTTTGTGGTGGTCTGTGTTGTGTTTCAGTTTTGGCATTTCTTCGCTGAGGGGTCGTAGACGGAGCAATCTGGGATTTGTCTACATCCAAGTATATGGAGTTGTATCGTTTCATTTCCCTGAAATTCGTGAACTTTTGTCTGCCTCTTTGGTAGAAAATAGACAAAAAAGGCCAGTTTTTTTTATCCCATTTTGGTGATAGAACCTCCTTTCTTCCCTAGGGTTTTCTTTATTTTTATATTCGCAAGAACTGAGGGAAAAATTATTTACTTTGGAAGGAAATTGAATATTGGGGCTCCTTTTTAATTGCTAGCTTGCAAAATAGCAAATTAGAATGGCACAGTGAGCTTGAATTTGTTGGCCGCCCATTGGGTATTTTTGACTGGAGAAGAAAAATGGATCTAGATGGGCTGAAATGCCGTCTCTAACAAAGGGAAATTCCAGTTTTCGTGTTGAACTTGAAAACAAAAAGATACTCCGGGCGGTCTATTGGTGTTTGTAGTAGTTTTTAAAGTTGTTGTGGATTTTACTTGTGGTATTCTCCAATGTTTTTCCATTGGAGAATTTCATATGACTTCCGGCAGACCCTTGTTGTCACCGTTTGAGCCATCGTCTTTGCCGACTCCTCATTCTCGTCCTCATCCTCATCCTCATCATCGCCATCATTCATCTTTGAGGATATCTTCATTAGGTTGTATATGTTGTAATGCATCAGTTTCGTCTTCCGTTGTTGATGAGACACAAAGAAACAACAATTTATTCGACCTGAAGGAAGAGGAAGAGGATATTGTCCCTGTTGGCGATAAAGGTCTTCCTGAGCTTTTTGTTGAGCTATCTACTTCGCTTGGGAAGAAGTCCAAGAAGGTCAATTCGGCTGACTCACAGTTCTATAGGCAGTTTCCAGTGGAATGTTCCCCACAGGAGAGGAAACGCCTGGTATCTTGGGGTGGTGCAATGGATCAACACCACAATCTCACTACCCTAGAGATTTCTAAGGACTCATCTCGGCCGACCTCGTCTCGGGTGGCTTCCTCTCGGATACAGGATAAGTTAAACAAATCTCAGAGGATTCTACAAAAAAGTATGCGGTTAGATGATAAATTATCACATGAAGATAATCCTAGGTTGATCCATATTAATGATCCAAATAGGACTAATGATAAGTTTCAGTTCACCGGAAATGAGATCAGAACTAGCAAGTACACACTCATTAATTTCTTGCCCAAAAATCTCTTCATTCAGTGCCGACGGTTTGCTTATCTGTATTTTGGAGTGATTGTTATTCTCAACCAGCTTCCGCCGCTTGCTGTCTTTGGGAGATTAGCATCTGCTTTTCCTCTTCTTTTCGTGCTTCTTGTGACGGCTGTAAAAGATGGTTATGAGGATTGGCGAAGACACAGATCAGACAGAAATGAGAATAATCGGGAAGCCCTAGTGCTTCAATCTGGCAAGTTTGAATTGAAGAAATGGAAAAATATGTGTGCTGGCGAGGTTGTAAAGATCCATGCTGATGAGACAATCCCGTGTGACATGGTGCTGTTAGGGACAAGTGATCCTAGCGGAATTGCTTACATACAGACCATGAATTTGGATGGTGAGTCAAACTTGAAGACAAGATATGCTAGGCAAGAAACGATCTCAATGGTACTTGAAGGAGGAATGATTTCAGGGGTAATCAGATGTGAACAGCCTAATAGGAACATATATGAGTTCACAGCCTACATGGAGTTGAAAGGGCAGAGGTTCTCACTTAGCCAATCGAACATCATCTTGCGTGGTTGTCAGCTGAAGAACACCGAGTGGGCAGTTGGTGTTGTGGTTTATGCGGGACAGGAGACAAAAGCAATGCTGAACAGCGCCGTGTCCCCATCCAAAAGAAGCAGACTTGAAAGCCAAATGAATAGGGAAACTCTTTGGTTGTCAGTTTTCCTGCTAAGCATGTGCTTGGTAGTGGCATTTGGGATGGGTTTATGGCTAAAGCGCCATGAGGACGAGCTTGAAACATTGCCTTATTACAGGAAAAGCGATTTTGGAAATGGAAAGTTTCCTGGGAAACCATACAAATATTATGGGATTGCAATGGAGACCCTTTTCTCCTTCTTGAGTTCTATCATAGTGTTTCAAATAATGATTCCAATATCTCTGTACATCACGATGGAGTTGGTTCGGTTGGGGCAATCATACTTCATGATTGGAGATAAGCATATGTATGACAGTAGCAATAATTCAAGGTTCCAGTGCAGATCCTTGAATATAAATGAGGATTTGGGTCAGATACGCTATGTATTTACAGATAAGACCGGAACGCTTACTGAAAACAAAATGGAATTCCGAAGAGCTAGTGTGTATGGGGATAATTATGGCACCTCCCTCGTTATGGCTGGCATGTTGCAGGGTACAGACATTTCAGGTATGACTTATGTATTCCTTTTCCTGCAGCTATCATTTCCTGATCTCTTTTGTCACATGCAATTTTAGTTGTTAATAATTTGCATACATGCAAATGTTGATTAGTATAGCTTCAAATTTTGCATTGTAGATGAGCTCCTGTACAGTTTATGCTCATTTCTCTTAATATGGCATTTCTTTTTTTTTTTAAATTTAGTTTATTTAAATGTTCAGTTATTAAATTCTTTAATTGTTTTTGGTGCTATGTTTTCTGCATGTATGATTGTATGTATAAAGCATACAATTGCTCTTTTGCATAGGGATTGTTGCTTTTAAGTTCCCATTATTGAAGCATTGTGGGTGACTCACTCTCTCTCTTCTTCTCTGCAACTTTTGCTACATTCAGCTTTTAAACAAGGAGTCACTTTCTGCTCAATATATTTTCATTGTTTCTTAATAGGTTTTGAAGTTGTTTTGACTGCTGACTATCTTATAATAAAGCATCACTAGATTTATTTTCTGTCAAATTTGATAGTCATCCAAATACCAAAAGACATTTTTGAGGCAGTTGTTCATTTATACATGTGCTTAAATATCAGGGGCATCTGCCATAGAGGTTTCTACATTTAAATAATGTATGCTGATCTTATGAAACAAAGCTGGTCACTTTTTTGTTATATTTATATATATTGATTTTGTATAGCAAAGAAGGTCTCTTTTGGGTATCTTTGCAACTTTCTTTTATTGAAGTGGCTCTTCTGAAATTATATTGGTTCGCTGTCTTTTAGGCTTTGAAATTGACATTGCCTTGATTTTGAGTTTCTTTGTGATTCCCATTACTTATTCTGAATCCAGTGGGAAGCCTATGAACTTGCATGACATTTGTGGTTCTGGGAATTGGGCTGAAGTTGCTTTGAGGAAATTAGGATTTTAGGAAAAGTTTAGTTGGATGTACCTAATGAAAACTTCAATGACAAGGGATTATTTTACAAATTACAAAAGCATGCCATAGAATCATAGTGTAACAAGAAGGTATAAACACAAACCGACTAGCTAAATCATGCATGTAAAATAAACAAAGGACAAATAAGGCATATAACTCAAAGACCTGCACCGTTCTTTTCATTGATCCATCTACATGGGAGGCCTTATCGATTCTAGGGTAGGATGGCATGCACAGCTTGTGTGGTTTCGGTTCAAATTGAATTCAGGAACGATAGGATTTCTTTCTGGTATTAAGATCGTCATGGAAGGTAGGGGGCTAATGCCGCAAAAATATATGAAACTCTTACAAGGCTATGCATGTGGAGGATAGTCATGGAAGATGTGAGGCTTGTGCTGCTGCTGGCAATCTATGGAAATTTTACTAGCTACACAATAAAGGCACTGCTCAATGTGGTTGAAGGCTATCTGCGGCTCCTCAATATGGATCGAGCATTCAGTAATAGATGCAAACTAGTGTCTTTTTCTTTTTGCATTAACTGGTGTAATCATCTCATGAAGGTTGAATTTAAGACAATGTTGCTCTTTGGTTGTTTAGTATGCATATGGTCGTATTTAAGTCTATGTTTCTCGTTGGTTGTTTGATATGCATGTTCTAGCTTGGCATCTGGTTGTGGGTCCTCTTCCCCTGTACCATACGCACTTTATTTACATGTCCACTGAGTGAATGAGTAATTGTTAGAACTATGTTACTTTACTGATTTAGTTTGCCTGTTATAGGAGTCAAAATTGGGGATGCCCATCATACTTGAATAATGGTGGGACTTTTGACAATGAGATATACGTTCTTTCTGGCCTTTTGGGTGTGCACTTGACTGTGGTTAATGTTACGTGATATGATTTCTTGAAGTCTAGTAGGGGCATGCTAGTTTGTCGTGTCTCCTACTCCAACCCCAGCCCACTTTAAATTTGACTATGTGCTTTGATTGTTTATTGATCTTTTGAAAAGTGTGTGTGACTGCAAAAAAGCTGGGACATTCTCATGCTGTGTCTTGTGGACCAGAGGAGAATCATGCATATTGTCAATCCCAATTTTCTCTTATATGTACCTCTTTTGTTTTTTATCTACTTCTGCAGTGGTAAAGACAGCAGCTTCTGTAGGTAGAAGGAAATGGCATCTTAAATCTGCAATTGCTGTTGATTCTGAACTCATGGAGTTGTTGCATAAAGATTTAGCTGGAGAAAACAGAATTGCTGCGCATGAGTTTTTTCTCACATTGGCAGCATGTAACACTGTGATTCCTATTCTTAATCAAAGCTCATCTTCAATGTGCATTGGGGGTGAACTACCTGACAATGTTGAAGGTATTGACTATCAGGGAGAATCGCCTGATGAACAAGCACTGGTTGCGGCTGCCTCTGCTTATGGTTATACCCTATTTGAGAGGACATCTGGGTATATTGTGATTGATGTCAATGGTGAGAAACTAAGGTAGGACACGCTACTTCAAAGGTTATAAATTGATTCTCTGAATCATTGTCACTGTCCACATGTATTGTTTGACAACAGTAGCCAACTGATTTTTTACCTAAAGAACTCTCTCTCTCTCTCTCTCTCACAGAGACACACACACACACACACACAAACAACCCAAACAAGTAACAATTTGTAATTTCACCATTTCTATCTGCAATGTAGGTTAGATGTTTTGGGTCTGCACGAGTTTGATAGTGTGCGCAAAAGAATGTCTGTTGTTGTTAGATTTCCCAACAACAATGTGAAGGTGTTGGTGAAAGGTGCTGACACTTCGATGTTCAGCATCTTAAAGAAAGACCATGCAGGAAATGATCATATAAGGCAGGCAACTCAGAGCCATCTGAATGAATATTCGTCTGAAGGTTTACGTACACTTGTAGTTGCTGGCAGGGATCTTTCTGGAGAAGAACTTGAGGAGTGGCAATGCATGTATGAAGATGCAAGCACTTCATTGACTGACAGATCTATTAAATTACGCCAAACGGCGGCTCTTATTGAATGTAACTTGCATTTACTTGGGGCAACTGCAATTGAGGACAAACTACAAGAGGGTGTACCAGAAGCCATTGAGTCTCTTCGGCAAGCAGGAATCAAGGTGTGGGTTTTAACGGGGGATAAGCAGGAGACAGCAATTTCAATTGGTCTTTCTTCTAAACTCCTGACTGCAGATATGAGTCAGATTGTCATAAATGGAAACTCAGAGAATGAATGCAGAAAACTCTTGTCTGATGCCAAGGCCAAGTATTGTGTGAAATCTGCAAATTGCCCAGATCGGAATATAAAGTGCAAAAACAATGATGAAAATGATTATCTTGGGGTTCCTGTTGACACAAAGTTGTCCATCTTGCTACAGCAGCATGCAGGGGAGGAAGAGGGAAGCGCGAGTGCACCATTAGCACTAATAATTGATGGGAATAGTTTGGTTTACATTTTGGAGAAAGATCTGGAGTCTGAGGCATGATCCTTTTCTTTTGCTCCATGTTAAAATATTATGTTTTTGCTATGATATATGTTTTTATGGTGTTCAATTGATTTGCTCATTTTCTGGATAGAAAGTACAATTTACAATATTTGCGGACATGCCATTTTTGGGTGGGTCTGCACATGAGATACTTATCTTACCCATCAAAGTTGTCTTACTTGGTAAAATTGTTACTTTTCAACAGCTGTTCGACCTTGCAACTTCGTGTAGGGCTGTGCTCTGTTGTCGTGTTGCACCCTTGCAAAAAGCTGGAATTGTTGACTTAGTGAAGAGCCGCACTGATGATCTGACACTAGCTATTGGCGATGGTGAGTTGATTGTTTGCAATATTCTTTCCCTGTTTATATTTGAGAAAACCTTTATTCAATATTTTTTTGGCCATGCATGCCTGTGCGCAAGAGTTGTTGAACATGAAAGTTTAGCTATTCCTGCNCTCTCTCTCTCTCTCTCTCACAGAGACACACACACACACACACACAAACAACCCAAACAAGTAACAATTTGTAATTTCACCATTTCTATCTGCAATGTAGGTTAGATGTTTTGGGTCTGCACGAGTTTGATAGTGTGCGCAAAAGAATGTCTGTTGTTGTTAGATTTCCCAACAACAATGTGAAGGTGTTGGTGAAAGGTGCTGACACTTCGATGTTCAGCATCTTAAAGAAAGACCATGCAGGAAATGATCATATAAGGCAGGCAACTCAGAGCCATCTGAATGAATATTCGTCTGAAGGTTTACGTACACTTGTAGTTGCTGGCAGGGATCTTTCTGGAGAAGAACTTGAGGAGTGGCAATGCATGTATGAAGATGCAAGCACTTCATTGACTGACAGATCTATTAAATTACGCCAAACGGCGGCTCTTATTGAATGTAACTTGCATTTACTTGGGGCAACTGCAATTGAGGACAAACTACAAGAGGGTGTACCAGAAGCCATTGAGTCTCTTCGGCAAGCAGGAATCAAGGTGTGGGTTTTAACGGGGGATAAGCAGGAGACAGCAATTTCAATTGGTCTTTCTTCTAAACTCCTGACTGCAGATATGAGTCAGATTGTCATAAATGGAAACTCAGAGAATGAATGCAGAAAACTCTTGTCTGATGCCAAGGCCAAGTATTGTGTGAAATCTGCAAATTGCCCAGATCGGAATATAAAGTGCAAAAACAATGATGAAAATGATTATCTTGGGGTTCCTGTTGACACAAAGTTGTCCATCTTGCTACAGCAGCATGCAGGGGAGGAAGAGGGAAGCGCGAGTGCACCATTAGCACTAATAATTGATGGGAATAGTTTGGTTTACATTTTGGAGAAAGATCTGGAGTCTGAGGCATGATCCTTTTCTTTTGCTCCATGTTAAAATATTATGTTTTTGCTATGATATATGTTTTTATGGTGTTCAATTGATTTGCTCATTTTCTGGATAGAAAGTACAATTTACAATATTTGCGGACATGCCATTTTTGGGTGGGTCTGCACATGAGATACTTATCTTACCCATCAAAGTTGTCTTACTTGGTAAAATTGTTACTTTTCAACAGCTGTTCGACCTTGCAACTTCGTGTAGGGCTGTGCTCTGTTGTCGTGTTGCACCCTTGCAAAAAGCTGGAATTGTTGACTTAGTGAAGAGCCGCACTGATGATCTGACACTAGCTATTGGCGATGGTGAGTTGATTGTTTGCAATATTCTTTCCCTGTTTATATTTGAGAAAACCTTTATTCAATATTTTTTTGGCCATGCATGCCTGTGCGCAAGAGTTGTTGAACATGAAAGTTTAGCTATTCCTGCTTGCCTTGGGTTGAAAAACTGTTGCAGGGGCAAATGATGTTTCCATGATCCAAATGGCCGATGTTGGTGTTGGTATATGTGGTCAGGAGGGACGCCAAGCAGTGATGGCATCAGATTTTGCCATGGGGCAGTTTCGGTTTCTGAAAAGATTACTTTTGGTGCATGGACACTGGAATTATCAGCGTGTTGGTTATCTGGTTCTTTACAACTTCTACCGCAATGCTGTGTTTGTATTGATGCTTTTCTGGTATGTGATTTATTTTTTCAATGTATTTTATACATCTTTACGATGGTTATATCTTCTCATTTCCCTCGCATAGTGCTTGTCATGCACAAATTCATTTTTGTAAATCCCAGATGTTCCAATTATATATTAATACCACCTGATTTTTGGATGTCTTCTATCGTGAGTAAATTTACTTATTATTAGCCATCGTATTATTTGTCCATTGTTGTTTTTATCAGTTAACAAAGTTATAAACAACTTAGTAAGTTTGCTCAGGTCCATGGTCGGTACATCTATTGTAACTTCTTGACTTGTTTATATATTATTTGGCCAAGTTGACGTCGATCAAAGAATGAGCCACAAAGGGGTGCAGCTAATGACTTAAATATGTCAGCTTGAAGGGCGCTGTTCTCACCTTATTGGTTAAAATGTGGCCCTTTTTGTCTTAGAATAGATTTTGACTTTCTGTATATAATATATGCATGGACTGCCAAAATGCTGTAGAAGTCAGACATCTAATTTAAGTAGGCGTAAAATTCTTAGTTCATGCCATTACCGTATAACATGAGGGTCAGTTTTTGTTGTCCATTCCTGTTTGGGAATGAAGGCGTTTGATCTTTTTCCTGGTGGGGAGGATTTGATCATGTACTTAATGTCTCTGCAGTCCTTAGAAGAGCGAGTGGGAGCCTCATGGGGATCTTTTTGTGACTGGGCATTATTCTCCCTATTATGAATTTTCATATGCACATCCTTCAATCTTGGATAGGATGGAAGGTGGCATGATGCACACTGTTAGCTGCCGCAGGATTCACAATTCCATCACTTCTTCAGTAAATCATATTCAATCTAGACAATGGTTGCTCAACCTATTGTCAATGGTCTATCCAAGCTAACAAAATGGGTCTCTTTGAGGTTTCTCATATTTATTCCTTGTACCCAAAACTGGGGACCCTTTTGGGGAACATGTGTTTAACTTGTGGTGGAATCCAGGATATATTGTGAACTGTGCGTCAAAAAGTACTTTGACTATTTTCATGAAAGAGTCGCATAAAAAAGTACTTTGCTCAGTAGCTTTTCTAACATTGCATGAAAAAGTAATATGACAGTTTACTGTTATGTTCATAGTATTTGTTCAAGTGTTCATTGAAGTCTCCATAGGATCCATTGACGTGTTCACTAGGTATAATGCTACAGTTCTTGGATTTTTGTTTTCGGGTCTCTAAGAATAATCCTTTGCTTTGTCATGTCCAGGTATATATTGTGCACAGCTTTTTCAACAACTTCTGCGTTAACAGATTGGAGTAGTGTACTTTATTCTGTCGTTTATACTTCGCTACCTACTATTGTTATTGGTATTTTGGACAAGGACTTAAGTCATAAAACGCTTCTCCAACATCCAAAACTCTATGGGGTGGGCCATAGGCAGGAGAGTTACAACATGCACCTCTTCTGGATCATGATGTTTGACACATTATGGCAGAGCCTTGTTCTCTTTTACATTCCTTTGTTCACCTATAAGGAGAGCACAATTGACATATGGAGCATGGGTAGCTTGTGGACAATAGCAGTCGTTGTCCTAGTCAATATGCACCTGGCAATGGACATTCAGCGTTGGGTATTATACACTCATATTGCAATATGGGGATCAATAGTCATTACATTTGCCTGTGTGGTGGTATTGGATTCCATACCCATGTTTCCGAATTATGGGTTAGTCTGTCAATTTATTGTGTATCTACTTTTCAGGTTTTATACCGTGAACTTATATATTTTGGATCTTTGGCAGGACCATATATCATCTGGCAAAATCTCCTACCTATTGGCTCTCCATTTTGCTTATAACGGTCTTAGCACTTCTGCCTCGGTTTTTTTTTAAAGTTATGCATCAAACCTTTTGGCCTTCAGATATCCAAATAGCTAGAGAGGCTGAGATAATGAGAAAACGACCAAGTTGCTTTGAGGCGAAGCTAGATCAGGGTTCCAGTTAACATTTATACTATTTGTCTTGCCGACTCCCCCAAGCCCCTGGTGGATTTTTCAGATGAGTTAACACAAGCTAAGTGGCAGTATGACGGGAGACAAAATTGAATTAATGACAAAAGGGGAAGAGAGCAGGAACTCAAGCCCAGGGGAGGAGATTATATGGAGATCTGTAGCAGCAAGATAGATTGATCGGGGAGGATGAAAGAGCACAGGGCAAAGCCTCTCCAAAGGGTGCTTGAGTTTTTTTGGTCAATCTTGAATGGGATTGTAGTTAGCACAGGCGAATTGGCAGGCTAACAGTCAGGATTTCCTTGTCACGGCCATCACAGGATCTTACCAAGAAAATGGTAATGCCAGCAGTGATGAGAAGGGAGAAAATAAAAAGAAAATAACTGACGTATATAATAGTTTCATGTAAAGATCAGGTGTTCATTCTTACCCTTGTAACAAAATGAAAGGAAAAATGTTTAGAACATCACGGTTATTTCTTCAGTTAGGGTGGGCCATTTGTGGTGTGTTCCAGCTGAGAGAGAGAGAGAGAGAGAGAGAGAGGGGATGTGAATTGCTTTGTTCATTTTCCTTATGTGGCATCCAATGTTTTAGCATGCCAAAATAGGCCTCTTTTCTTCAGTTAAATGCTGGATGAGTGATTATGATGAGGGATAGATTCATCTTGTTTGCATATTTGGGGTTGTTTTTGGTAGAACTGTAGGCACCGGCCAGGTGATGATTCTATTCTGTGACTATCTGACCTAAAAACATTCTTCTTGCATCATATATTAACTGTACAAGTTTAGAAACCATGTTTAGGACCATAAATAAATGTGTATATCATTTGGCTTCTGAATTATCTTTTTGGGAAATACACATTTCTTATGTTTTACAATCTGTAGGCTTTTCGTGAAGGGTTGGCCTTAGAACAATCATTAGATGTGAATCATTCAAATGTTATTTCGTGATTAATGGGGTTTTAGAAAATATACAACAAAATGCCATCAAATGATACTGAAGTTTATCAGTAATTGATAAATTAATAATATTATTTAGACTTATTTTATTGATATAATTCATTTTAACTATTCAATTGATTGTGAATTTGAATAAATATTAGAATTTATTATTAATTTAATAATTATGAATGTTTGCAATTGAGGTTGCAACTTGCAATCAAGGCAAGGTATGATTTTCCACAACACACCCCCCTTGACTGGTCAAACCTTTCCCACCACAAACAGGCTAGAAGACTAGGCTCCCAAAATATATGCATTTATCAACTTATTATAAATTTGCCCCCACATTCTTCTTTTATTTCTTCTCAAAATAGATACATAGATAGATAATTTCACATATCCATAAGGGAGCATTATCCCTATATTTTTTCANTATGATTTTCCACAACACACCCCCCTTGACTGGTCAAACCTTTCCCACCACAAACAAGCTAGAAGACTAGGCTCCAAAATATATGCATTTATCAACTTATTATAAATTTGCCCCCACATTCTTTTTTTATTTCTTCTCAAAATAGATACGTAGATAGATAATTTCACATATTCATAAGGGAGCATTATCCCTATATTTTTTTATACAAACTTGAATGTGGTACCAAAAAATAATATACCAAAGTTTACTATACTTGTGAATATTTTTGTCATTATTGTGAATGTTTTTATCATTATTGTGGTACTGAAAAAAGTGATAAAAATATTTACCAAAATGGTGGCAATAAAAACTCATAAAAATGATAACTCACCCACAAAAATTGTAATTTTTTTTATACTGANAAATAATATACCAAAGTTTACTATACTTGTGAATATTTTTGTCATTATTGTGAATGTTTTTATCATTATTGTGGTACTGAAAAAAGTGATAAAAATATTTACCAAAACAGTGGCAAAAAAAAAACTCATAAAAATGATAACTCACCCACAAAAATTGTAATTTTTTTTGTACTAAAGAAAACTGGTAAAAATAGTTATCATTACAGTAGCAAAAACATCTACAATACTGATAAAAACACTCACAAAAATGATAAATTTTTTTTGTCATAAAATAACCCACAAAAATTATAAAAATACTCTTTAAAATAATAAATTTTAGAGTTNTAGCAAAAACATCTACAATACTGATAAAAACACTCACAAAAATGATAAATTTTTTTGTCATAAAATAACCCACAAAAATTATAAAAATACTCTTTAAAATAATAAATTTTAGAGTTACGGTACCAAATTTTTTTATCGGTACCATTGTCAAGTAGGCACTAACAGCACAATCTAACGCCACATGAAAACCCTTAATTAAACAACCGTTTTAAGTACACAGCTATGCCTTTACTTTACATTGTAAAATTGTCCTAACTCGGATTCTATGATATTCTTGTTTACATCAACACTTTTCTTTTTTATCTTTTTGGGTAAATTAGAATACCATTTCCCTATTTATGTCAAAAGAACATAGTTTTTCCCTAATCNAGTACACAGCTATGCCTTTACTTTACATTGTAAAATTGTCCTAACTCGGATTCTATACATCAACACTTTTCTTTTTTATCTTTTTGGGTAAATTAGAATGCCATTTCCCTATTTATGTCAAAAGAACATAGTTTTTCCCTAATCAATTTCAAAATGAAATGAGAACCCCAATCGAAAACGCATAATGCTATATTGAGAAAAACAAAAAAACAAAGAAAACAATTGGGGTTATGTCTCTCTCACATTTTTCCTTGTCTCTATCTTTCACTTTTCCATGTGTCGGTCTCAAGGATTTTTTTCAAATCCCTCCGACTAAGTTGTTTCAAACAATTACTTAGGTTAGTTCATAAATTTTTTAGATGAATTCAATCGACAAATTTAAAACAAGAAAAACGNTCTCTATCTTTCACTTTTCCATGTGTCGGTCTCAAGGATTTTTTTCAAATCCCTCCAACTAAGTTGTTTCAAACAATTACTTAGGTTAGAGTTTATCTGTCTTGTTTCATAAATTTTTTAGATGAACTCAATCGACAAATTTAAAACAAGAAAAATGATATAAAGGTTAATAAAAGTAGACATTTTTATTTGTTTGGATTGAAACTTAGGTTACAAGAGAATGATGAATCAACTTTAACTACAATACTAATTTCTACTCTAAATTACAATAAGCACTATTTAAAATTTCTAAATCGTGGGACTTTTGATGAGTTTAATCGTGTCCTTCTTCCTATAATAGTTGCCCATTTTATAGGCACCTCATTTCGACAATTACATTGGTTCTCTGATAGTTTTTCTTCCATGATGATGGACATAGAAATAACCTAATAACTTAAGGCAACTAAGTGAGTGACCGGGCATGTGATGGGAATAGTCACGAGGCGAGCACGCGAGTCAGATCCAGTGCGATATATCTCCTCCAGGATCCAAACCGCATATCAGTCCACTCACCTATATTCCATAATAATAACTCAAACCAATTCCAAACATTATAGGATGGAGGTTCCACTTTTCTTGCTGCTCTATTCAAAAGGTAGCTAAAGAGCTATAACAGTAACAAGAGCTCAACCTATAAAGAAGATGAATGAACTACGATTCAGGTAAGTAATTCCTTACAGCTCAATGTCAGATAAACCTCTTCACCTTTATTAACTTAATAATTGGAGGGTTGACCACCAGAGTCCCTTCAATCTTGACTTCTATGCAGGAGCTCACCGGCGATTGCCAAGTCATCATCCATTTCATTGGTGCAGTTTTTGAGATCAACACATGATAGTCTCTTGCCCAATTGTTGCCCTTTCAACTCTAAAAGCGCAATTAATTTTGATATTTTGTTGATAACTACTTTCTTTTGAATTCTAGAATACTTGTTCACTTCCTTCAAAATAAGAATTTTTGTGTACTTGAAACTCTTTGAATTTGAAAAGTCATGTCGATTAATTTGTTTCTTCTCACGTTATTTATATGACTGTCATGTGGCATAATACTTTGGCTAATTTATTTTATTAACCGATGTCATTCGTTATTTATTCACAATGTCTCTGTTTCTTTATCTCTATCTTACCTTGGTTTAGAAGAAAAAAAAAGTAATATTACTTAATCAAGTACGTAAGGCTCTAAGACATAAGCACCGTCCGTGTAAATTGAATATTCGGTCCATGTAGATAATATTGGTGGTTAGGAAGGAGTATTACTAGTAGTACAGTTGCGTGGAAGCTTACAAGTAATTTCAAGGGGATAGGGAGGGGAATTAATTACGTGTGAAAAAAAGGAAGATGACAAAATGGGAAAAATTAAAAAAAAAAGTACACCCCAACATCACTCACAATCAATATCGAAAAAAAAGAAGAAGAAGGTATTGTACCATTAATTATTATTTTTTATGATAAAATTATAATTTTAAAAGAAAAAATTATAATTATTCAAAGAAAGGTTATGATCAATTATAGACATCTATGATCGATCATGAACTTTTATTATTAATCTCAATATTCTATAATTAATCGTATCCTTTAAAATTATAACTTATACATTAAAAAAATTATACTTCAACTTTAAAAAAAACAATAATTTTTGGTCCGATACCACATATGGTACCGTAACCTTTTCCTAAATTCAGATGTCCAATTAGAAATCCGTATGTGATAGTGTGAATGTGTATGTGATGGGGATTCTTTTCTTATCACAAACAAATGCTTTTTTTTTTATGAGATCAAACCTCGTCAAAAGTAAAAGTGTATTAATTGCTTTTTTTAATGCTACGCAAGAAAGCAATGGCAGTGGTGGAAGCAATCAAATTTGGGCCCCACAATGTCAAGAAGTCAGGATCACGGGTAAATATTGGATACAATCGTGATACCATGTCATCATTGATGATATAATATCATCAACTAATAATAAAATCTAAAATGAAAAAGATAAACCCCACTTAAACTTACATAGCAGAAGAATGAAGAGTTATTTGCTTATATGACAGATTAGTTATTGATTTTTATGGGGTCTATCTATTTATTTGTTTTATTATTATTGGCTGGTGATACCATATCACCTTGTTTCGTGATATCATTGTTGTAATAGATATTTTCTCCAGAACCACGAGGGCTTCATCATCGATCCTTTGCTATACATACAAATACAATGCAATGTTATCTCCAGATTCTTCTATGCACACATTAAATTTGATGGGATGTTAGGCGGTGCCAATGAAAATTTAATACATGGATATTCATAGTTATTAAAATGTGTACAATTCGTCAAGAGAAGGCACCGAGCAAGTAGGATGCTTGGGGCCAAACTTAGCATTAAATGAAGTATGATAGCAAAATAATGTAGGTCGTGTTAGTATGACATGTCATTAATAATTGATTAATCCTTGAAGAACATGAAAGGAGACATCATTACATGACATGAATGGCAATTAGACTGAGGAGGAGCTTTCGGGGGCTCCCGAGGGGATCTAGTGCCTTCTCAAAAAGGCTCGACTGTGGGCTATCAGTACGTATTTAGAGCACTCGATGGTCAAGGATTGAACCATGAATGCTCGGCTTGGTCCCGAGAGAGGATCCAGGTGCCCAGACA